AGGGCCCTCCACCTGCCAGTTCCCCTCTACACTCATTCTACTCAGCCACTCAATCTTATCTACTGACTCGAACTCTTGGGCACATTGTTCAATCGCTTGTTGGGTTTCTAATGCATTGTTGTCCCTGATTGTACTTGTATGCATTTCATTTATGTCTTCTGTTTTAGAGAGGCACTCTGAGAGTCTATTATCAGGTGGATCTGTACCTAGACCATGTATGATTCATAGATATTTTATTTGCTTCCTTTATTAATCAGGGTCCAATCAGAAAATAAAAACTTCTCTAAGCTTCTAGAGCAGATAGAATTTAATCCAGTTGATTAGTATACAGCCAATGGAGGAGCTGAGAATTCCAACCCAAAAATAGTGAATAGGAGGCTATGACAGGGATCAAGAGTGGGATCACGTGCCTAGGCTGTCGGGTAGCTAGAAAGGGGATCATATTTGCCTGCCTGGTGGAAGGTAGAGTCATTAGAGTTGCTGCTACTGCCAGAATTGTGGCCCAAGACAGTGAATGAGAAACATGAAGCTTCTCCCTTGCTCCCACTCTCCAGTATCTTGCTAGTGGGACCCAGGTTAGGAACCCAGCAGGAAGCAGTAGCCAGTGAGCTGTCAAGCAATTCTGCATGGGTCTGTGTCCAGAGACAAAGGGCAGATTGGAGGAAGAAGCAATAAGGTCCTGGATAAACTACCCAGGACCAGCATACACTCTTCCCAACACTGAAGCTCTCTCACTCATTACTGATTCCATTGACCTATCCCACTCTCTTCCCATCAACATCAATACTATATGAATGGAAAATATTTTATCAGTGCAGCTTCCATTATTTTTCTACTGCTCTTTTCCTAAACAAAATACTTAATGTAAAGATGATTTAAAATTTAATTCCCACAATTTTAACATAGAGTGTTGGCCCTGGTACATGTTTTATGTTACATCCAAGTTCATTGGAGCCTCTCCTGAGTTCAGGGGGCACCAGACACAGTGTTATCCCTGCCTGTGCATGTCACAGTCAACTGATCCGGCTAGGTCAGATTTTGGGTGTATTTACTGGTGCTTTGTTGCATGTTATTTGGGTTATAATGTCATTCTTCCATCCAATACTCCCACCTCCACATTAAATTTATTCTCTGGTCATTACTACTCAAAATTCCTTCCTCTCAACTCTTCCTGTTCCCACCAGCTGCACTGGTAGATGAACTGCTAAGAATATGTTTTGATGAATGTTGGATGCATGTTAAGTATTAACTGTTTTACTAAATCTAATTTACTGTAAGTATCATGGTGCCTTTTAAAAATCACTCTGTGTTTATTTTATAAAAAGGCTAATTTATAATATCCTTTATGAAGTAACACATCTCACACAAGCTACAGAATTATACCTTCCATGGTGCAGGAGGTTCCCTGAGTCTCTTCTTTGTCACTTATTTCCAAAGAAGAGTCAGGGAATAAAGGCATAAGTTTAATATACACTAGTGTGATATAAGAATGGGGAACCTGTGGTCCTCAATTTATTTTCTTGGGCCTGAGGTTGGTATTGCTTTGATCACTGCTCCATAGCCTAGAAAATAATTAAGTCCCCCATGGACATCAATGAGAAAAGAAAAACCGACAGTTTACTGTATAGATAACAGTTTAGACTCTGGCCCAATACTAACGATAATGATCATAACCATAGCAATATTTAAAAATCCTTGGAACACTGATGAAGACTCATGCATGACTGTGCATTCTTTACATGATGTAAGTTGTCACCCTGTGAGGGAGGTACTATTATCACCTCCATTTTATAGATGAGTGACAAAGAGGGCCAAGGTCTCAGGGCAGAATTGAAAGCCAGCTGTAGGTCACCAGACCTCCTGTTCTGACACTGCCCTGCAGCAGAGTTTGATCCCTAGTCTCAGTGGCTGAACTTGCACAAATAGCCCAAGTCTCCAAGGTGATCTCTTGTCTTCTGAAAAGCACAGATGAAATACCATTGTTTTAACTGTTTCAGTAGATTAAATAAAATATTGTCTATATCACTATAAGTGATATGGTGACTGACCAAATAATTAAATATTCAGGATTCATGTCTTTAATTTATGATATTTAAAATATTTTAACAACTTTAGTAAGTGTGTTATAAACTGAGGAAATGTTGAGTTGTAAACAGTGGTTATTGGTTGTTAAAATTTCAAGTGTGTGTTCAGAGGCCCATCTGATATTTTTGACCAGTGTCTGGTCCACTGTGCTGGGGATGATGGGAGCGGTTTTGCATGGGAGGCACATGGTGCTGTGTAAAGGTTTCAACAGGTGAGGAACTCTCCCCGAAGGAGCACAGTCATCACTGCTAACCTGTCTCCTGTAGTACAGGCCACCTCAGGATGTAAAATCATCAGCTGAGGCCACAACCTATTAAAGCAAGACAGATGCAGAGGCCATGAAGCCAGGCACATGGACAATAGGTGCCAGAGCTGTCAGTAGTTGGCAGCAAGCACATGTGAGAATGAGAGGACCAACCCTTCCAGGCAACTCAGTGTATAAAGACTCTGTTTTCTAAATATTTAGAGACATAGCACATGCCAAGATGGACAATTCTGAGCATAGCATACTAAAGAGAAGCAGCCCACCCACCACAGCCTATTGCAGAAAGTAACAAGAACAGCAAAGGATCACAGAACAGCCAGAAGGAAACAGACCTGTGTAATTAGACTGATCCGGGAAGAGCCAGGACAGGAATTGATATGGGTTTTCACCAGTTCCTGAAGGAAGAAATTAGAACCTCATTTCAGAATTGAGTGTGGGCTGTGCAATTCTTCTCCAGTCCCTTGTTAATCTTTACAATGTAGGACTTGACCACCCCTTCTCCCAGGAATCAAAGCAGACCTGCACCCCTGGCCTCAGTCAGGCCACCTCACTATGACATCCATGAGATTTAATGGCTTGTCTTTTCAGCCACGGATGAAACAAGGGAACTTGTTTTGTCCCCAGAGATACCCCAGACTGGTGGTTTTACTGAACCCCCCCAGCCTGCTTCACACACACCCTCCCTCTGCAGGCCTGTTCACTCTGCTTTGTGGGCCTTTTCATCAGAGTTCAGCCACTGATTTTCCTTCACTTCCTCCAGCTCTTGATATTCTTTTTGTATATTTTTTCTGGATGTATTTCACTATTTTTGCCTCAAGTGTCTGTCCTTTCCATGAGTTTATCTGGAAATGTACAGGGTTTACAACATGAACTGTGGGTTCAGAAGGCCTGGAATCATACAGCTCATTCAACCCCAAGGCATCTGCATACATGGTCTGCCTGGATTTCAGTCTCTTTTTCTGTAAAGGGGCACATAGTGATACTTCCACCCCAGGGCAGCAGTGGGCACTAAGCCCACTTCTCCTTTCTTCTTAGCAGAAGAAAATCAGTTTTTATCTGCTTGTAATCACCTTGTTCAATTCTCAGTTGAGTATTACGGTTCTCTGCACTCTCATCTCCAACACTTGCTTGACAAACCATTTTCTTTAGGATCGCTGAACAGAGAAAGAAAAGAAGTTAGAGCTTTCCATCAGAGTTCAGGGACATCAAGTGTGCACATTTAGGAACTTTTATCCTTCTAGTCACTCAGAACTCAGTGAGTCCCAGTCCTCATGGGCAAGTTCCTCACCCTCCCTGGTACAGAAAAGAGAACCCCAAAAAGGGCATCCTTATGTTACCCACATAGAAAGGAGTCACTCAAGTGTCAGGAGAAAGGAGTCGTGCAAAACATCGTGAACTTGTTAGGTATGTAAAACAATTATAGACATCTGTGTCAAATAAAAAGTGGAAGTGAAGTGTGTTTTCTGATCTGTTCAAACTGTAAGGAGAAAACAACAATCTCCTTGTGAGAAGGTCAAAGATTGTGTAAGTGACTGCATGTATCAACGTGAAAGCACAAAAACTTTAAATAAATTGATGGTCAAGAGAAGGGTGGAGTTTACTGGGTCAGGAGGGTGAGCACTTCCCCAAGAGACAGCAGAGGACACAGGAAGAAGTAAGAAGACCTCCAGGAGACCCAATTCTCAGGAGACTGTCTGAAGCTGCCAGGAGGGGTTGGATATTGTGGCACTGGAGGACGTCTCAAGAGTTCTGGACCAGAGCCTGGGAGGCTGCCAAAAAGGTGAGACCAGTGCACCAGCTGAGTGTTTTTCCCATAGCATCTTCACTACTCAGTTCATATAATTCTTTCCTGTGAATTCTCCATTGTTATTTGGAGATCTTGGTGGATAATAAACTATGTCAAAATAAAAATTTTTCTGGCAAGTCAAAACAAAAATTATAGGAAGAAGACATCACAATAAGCTATAATAATTTTTAAATCATTGGCCGGACAGTTTGAACCACAAATTCAGACTACAGTTAGAAATTACACATTGTGAGTCGCAGGAAAAAGTGGTGAATCAATCACTTTTGTGTGGTAGAGTTTCTGGCAGAGAAATTAATTTTGAGATTATGTGATTAATGTTTGTGTCACTCCTTGTGGAGAAAGTGCTAATATAGCCATTATCTTTGTTTAAGGGCCAATTTGATCTAGGTTAATTTTCTTGCTCATTACAAGAAATGGTTAATTTTATTGTTCATTACTCTCGACACCTGATAAAGGTGGTTCTCTCTTTTCTGTATTACCAGATCAACAGTGGGGTTAGGCTGAAAAATGACCCATAACTGGACTCAGAAGGACTCCATGTAAACTATAAGCCATAGCTGGTGTTCCTCCAATGTGGTGACTCTTGTAACTCAGTTGTCTCTCATGGTGTCCCTGAAAGTAATGACTACAGAGTTGTTACATGAGACATTGAGTCCCCTGGTCATGGTGCTGCTAAGCCAGGTGGATTCTGCACCCACAGCTGAGCTGTCAGCTGGGGCAGAGACTAGTGTACTTGATGGTGTGCTATGTGGACACGTGCAAAAAGAACAGCAACTGATGGTGCCTTACTCAGATGCAGTGCTTGTTGTCATTTGTTCTTCAAAGTAAATCTGATGTGATTGTGATTCTAATTGTTGTGAGAGTTTAAATGCTTGGTTAAGCAGACATCTAGGTGTATTTTATACTGTAGTCACTATACCAAAAGCTTCCAGAAGGCTCATGATGTCTGTATTCTTAATTGCTATGTCACCTCAGACCAGCATCATGTGTGACACATGCTCAAAATATATTTGTCAAAAAAAACTTGCCATAGACATTGAAACGTAGGCTATAAACCTAATTACCATCTCTGAGGCCTTCACAAATGCCATTTAAATCAGGGTAGTTCTTCATGATGACCTTGCTGAACAAGATTTCCAGAAGTGGCAGGTGATGTTTCTCCTCCATGTTATCAAGGACTGCATATACCACTTTTGGTACAGTTGATGGGTTTTTACAAGATCTTTTACACTCCTTGAAAAATAGCAAATGGGGAAATATGAATACAGAGTTTTAAGTTAGAGAAGAGCCATAGAAAATTTTATTTTAATGTATTACAATTCTCCTACATAGGTATCTTCTCATGTACAGTTTAAAAATTTCCCCATATTAGTGTAGCTACAAACAAGTAAATCTTTTTTCCTTAAAAATATGCATTTGTGCATTTGATCTCATCACTCTCATTTATATTAGATGGAAGGAGGAGCAATATGGACAACAAAAGTTGGTTCAAAGTTAAATGATACATATGTATCCCATTCAGAACCTGGCAAAATGTTTTAGGAATTGACTGAACAGGTGATAGGCTGATGCTCTATTGAATGTAAAACACTTGTTCCTTCCCTAGGACCAACTTGGCCTGGAAAAGCTCAAAGAAGTCAGGTGATGATTTTTCCCTTCCTGTGAGCTTTGCTGTAAAGTAGCCTATTCATAGGGAAACAGAAGATTTGCATCTTTGTATCTCCACCTATATCTTTTGCTAGAATTATCTAAATTTCAAGATTCCAGAAATCACAAAGGGAAAGAAAACTGAAAGTTGTTGGCGAAATAATAGAATGTAACTATTTAGAAATTTGTTCTAAGAATACATTCATTTCCTGTGGATTTTAATGTTCTCAGATTTAATCATTTAAATTTATGTTCCTTGGAATAAAATGCTGTGTAAATTATGTCATTAAATCAGTTGATTAAAGTTATTCATCCATTCATTAAAAATGCCTTTAACCTCTAGTTTATGCTATATTGTACATCTAATACCTACAAGGCTTTATATTGTACACCTACGGGCCCATAAATTTCAGATCCAGCCTATCTCCAGTGTTATTCACCTTAACTCTAGGAGACACCAAAAAGTTTCATTCCTTCAGTCAGGAGCATGACTGTCTGCAGTGATGCCTGCTTCCTATTTTCACCTTCTAAGAACATTAAAAGAGTACTTGAGAAGGCCCCCACTCACAGGAGATCTCTCACTTGTAGTGTTGTGCCCTGACACTTGACTCCAAACTACCAAAACAACTAATGTGGGGCTGGTTTACCAGATTGTGACGTAATAAACTTCACTTACTTTATACATTTCATTGGTGATGAGTTCACGGTCACGAAGTGTCTCCAGGAAAGGAAATGATGCTGTTATTGCATCTGAAATCTCAACCTTATGTGCTTTGAAGTATTTGACTGCAATCTCACACATAAGTTTGTAGTCTTTTGCAGATATCCTAGGGAGAAAGGATACCTTGGTAAAATGGTCATCAAGATTTTGAAGATTTTGAGGGTATAATGTTTTATATATGAAGGATAGAATGTGAAGAATCAACAAGATTACAATAAGAAGCTCTGAGCAGAGACCAGAATAAATGGAGTTGATGCAATCAACAAAGATATAATAGAAGAAGCATGGAGAATTAGAAAGACATACATATTATAAAAAGTGTACAGAGTATCCCAATTTAAGTCATTGTACACATGTCTTCTCTTAAACATATTTGGAATATTTCTTATTAAAACCTTCTGTTCAACATAGTATTGGGAGTCATTTTTTAAAAATTTTATTTATTTAATTGTTCAAGTACAGTGTTCTGTCTTTTACTCCCATCCCAGCCCACCCCCTAGTGCTCCCCACCTCCCTCCCATTTCTACCCTGTTTAGTTGTTCTCCATGTGTCCTTTATACTAGTTCCTGTAAATCCTTCCACTTTTCCCCTGAAATTCCCTCCCGTCTCCCCTCTGGTCACTGTCAGCCTGTTCTCTATTTCAGTGTCTTTGGTTATATTTTGCTTGCTTGTTTGTTTTGTTGTTTAGCTTACTGTTAAAGGTGAAATCATATGGTATTTGCCTTTAACCACCTGGCAGTTTTAGCCACAACAATGAGACAAGACAAAGAAATAAATGTCATTATGATTTGGAAAGGAAGAAGTAAAACTCTAGTTCTTGGCAGATGACATGATATTACCATAGAAAACTATTTCTATTTCTATTACCATAGAAAACTCTAAAAATTTTACCGAAAAGTATGAGAACTAATAAATGACATTAATAAAGTTGCGGAATACAGAATCAATATACAAAAATCTATTGTATTTCTATACATCAATAAGGAATGATCATAAGAAGAAATTAAGAAAACAATCCCATTTACAATTGCATCAAAACATCTAAAATACCTAGGGATAAATTTAACCAAAGAGGTGAAATACTTTTGCTCTGAAAACAATTAAGACATTGATGAAAGAAATTGAAGAAGGTACAAACAAATGAAAAAATACACTGTTCCATATTTATGATTTGGAAGGATTAATATTGTTAAAATGTTCTTACTACCTCAAGTAATATATATATTCAGTGCAATGCCTATTGAAATATATTCTTCTAAGAATTAGAATTAATCCTATATTGTTTTATGGAACCACAAAAGACCCAAAATAGCCAAATCCCAAGAAGAAACAAAGTGGGAAGTATTATACTACCTGATATAAAACTACACTATACAACTGTAATAATCAAAACAATATAGTATTGGCTTAAACAAACAAATGTATAGATCAATGGACTAGAATAGCTAGCCCAGAAATAAATTCTCACATATATGGCTAGTTAATTTAAGACAAAGGTATACAATGGGGTAAAGACAGTCTCTTCAATAAGTGGTGTTGGCAAACTGAATAGTTCCATGTATAAAAATTGAAATTTGACCACTTTGTTATACCATAGATAAAAATAAACTCAGAATAAATTTAAGACTTAACTGTTAGACTTGAAACCTTAAAACTTTTAGAAGAAAAATTTGACATCACTCTTAGAAACATCTTTTGGGATATATCTTTTAGAGGAAAATAAAAAAACATAAATAAGTGGGATTACATGACATTAAAAAGATTTTGCACTGCAAAAGAAACTATTACCACAATGAAAAAAACAAGCTACTGATATTGGCAAATGTTCACACATTTAATGAAGGATTAACATTTAAAATATAAAAACAACTCATATAAGTTAACAAAAAAATTCAATAAAAAATGGACAGAGGACCTGAACAGACACTTCTCCAAAGAGGACATGCAAATGGCCAACAGATACATGAAAAGAGGCTCATCATCGCTAATTATCAGGGGGATGCAAATTCAAAGCACAATGAGATATTACCTCACACTTGTTAGAATAGCTATCATCAATAAATCAACAGAAAAGTGCCTGCAGGATGCAGAGGAAAGGGAACTCTTGGACTTTGTTTGTGGAACTGTAAAGGGTGCAGTGACTATGAGAAACAGTGTGGAGATTCCTCCTCACACAAGTAAAAATAGAGCTGCCATATGATCTGGCAATTCCACTTCTGGACATTTATCTGAAGAAAACAACACGAATTCAAAAAGATATATGTACTCTTCTGTTCATTGCAGCATTACTACTAACAGCTGAGATATGGAAGCAATCTAGACATCTATCAGTAGAGAAATAGATAAAGAGGATGTTTTATAAATACACATATATAATAAAATATTATTCAGCAATAAAAAGTGTGAAATTTTGCCATTTGTGAAAACATGGATCGCCCTGGAGGGTATTATACTAAGTGAATTAAGTCAGCTAGAGAAAAACAAATACCGTGTGATATCATTTATATGTGGAATAAAGAACCTCACAAAATAAATGAATAAACAAAGCAAAGCAAAACCAAACAGAAACAGACCCATACATACAGAGAATAAGCTAATGTTTGTCAAAGGAGAGGAGGTGGGAGATGGGAATTTAAACAAGAAAAAAATTAAATTTGTATAAAAGTGAGATGGAGTAAACAAGTCATAACAGAGGAAAAAAATAAAATGACAATAAAATTTAACCTTGAAAATGCATCTTAATTAACAACTAAGAGAAAATAAATCACAGAAAGATAAGTACAGAGTTTCCCCTCACTGACCTACAACTGAAAAGAGAAATACCATCCTGAATCATAAAACTAGTTAATAAATAATAAGATGTGGTTTAATAATGATATATTAAGGTATAAACTGAATCACAAGAATATCAATCACTTTTTCTGGGACTCCTACTCTGTGGCAAAATATATCTACCTGTGTTGTTGTATATAATGAATCCTTTTACACATTTCAGTATTCAGTAACACCTGCTATTTCCTGTGAAAGCTATAAACAAGAATCTATAATTCTGCTTCTTAGTTGGTCATTTCATTACTCTGATAATAATATTTTCATTAATATCTATGTTCCTAAACATTATGAAGACACATAAGCTTCCTTTTTCAAACCAGAGGAGAATTATTGGTAACTTTCAGTACCCAGCATGCACCAGAGAATAATAATGTCACATTATTGTGTCAAATTTTAATGACAAGGTTACTGTAATCAAAGCAGCCTGGTACCGGCATAGATCAATGGAACAGAATAGAGAGCCCAGAAACAAACCCAGGTCTCTATAGTCAATTAATATTTGACAAAGGGGGAAGAAGCATAAAATGGAATAAAAATAACCTCTTCAACAAATGGTGTTGGGAGATCTGAATGAGTATATGAGAAAAAAAGAAAACTTGAGCACGAATTTACACCATACACAAAAATAAAGTCAAAATGGACAAAAAACCTTAAATATAAGTCATGACACCATGCAAGTCCTACAGGAGAACATAGACAGGAAAATCTCAGATATTCCATGCAGCAATATTTTCATAGATCTGCTTCCTAGAACAAGGGAAATAAAGAAAAGGATAAACAAATGGGACCTCATCAAATTAAAAAGCTTCTGCATGGCTAAAGAAAATATCAGCAAAATGAAAAGAGAACCAATCTAATTGGAAAATACATTTGCCAATGATACCTTGGACAAGAGTTTGATCACCAAAATATATAAAGAACACACAAGACTCCACTTCAGGAAGACAAACAATCCAATTAAAAAATGGGCAAAAGACTTGAACAGAGACTTCTCTAAGGAGGACAAGCAGAGAGCCCAGAGACATATGAAAGGATGTTCATCATCACTAGCCACCAGAGAGATGCCAAGTAAAACCACAGTGAGATACCGCTTCACATCGGCCAAAATGGCCATCATAAACAAATCAACAAACAATGAGTGCTGGCAAAGATGTGGAGGAAAGGGAACCCTAGTACACTGTTGGTAGGAATGCGGACTGGTGCAGGCACTGTGGAAAACAGTATGGAATTCCCTCACAAAAGTAAATGTTGAACTGCCTTTTGACCCAGCAACCCCACTGTTGGGATTATACCCTAAGATTGTAAAACACTAATACAAAAGAGCCTATGCACCCCTCTGTTCATAGCAGTGATAGTCACAATAGCCAATTTACAATTGGTTGGAAAATGATATGGGAAACTTTGAAAAACCTCTGTTTAACCTTTATTTGCCCAGGCCCCAGGCGCCCTAGGGAGAATGATGGGGCTGTCTGGGAGGGCAGGTGGCCGGATAGTCAGGACTGGAACGTCAGGACTGGAACTAGCACCCCGCTGGGAAACTAAATACCCATCAGTAAATGAGTGGACCAAGAAACAGTTGTATATTTACACATTGGAATACTATGGAGCAGAAAGAAAGAACTCCTACCCTTCACAACAACATGGATGGAATTGGAGACTATTATGCTGAGTGAAATAAGTCAGGCAGTGAAAGACAAATACCATATGATCTCACCTCTAAGTAGAACCTAATCAACAAAACAAAAGAGATAGCAAAATAGAACCAGAGACATTGAAATAAAGAACCAACTGACAGTAACCAGTGGGGAGTAGGGGGATAGTGGGGCAAAAGGGGAAGGGTCAGCTCAAGGGTCATGTACAAAGGACTGAAGGACAAAGACAACAGGATGGGGGAGGATTAAATGTGGGAGGTGAGGAGTGGGTATGGCAGGGGAGAGTAATGGGAAAAATGTGGAAAACTGTAATAAAAAACAATAAAAATAGAAAAAATCTCTTTAAAAACAGCAGATGGAAAGAAGCATTTTTCTTCTCTCTTATTAAAAATCAACTTCACAATGACAAAGAGAATGGCAAGGGAGCAAATAAAAGATTTCAACCAAAACTGATAGGCTAAATATAGGTGAGAGGAGCATTAAATGCTATTGTGGGTGAAGGGTGCTCAAAGTGGGCAGGAAACAACCAGGTGCCCTCTGGAATTTTGAAGGCAGTGGAGACTGAAAGGGAGACATAATGCTGAAAACTAAGATGTTATTTGAAAAATGAAGAACAGGGCGA